TTTTTTTTTTTTGGTCTTTTTGAGACAGGGTCTCCCTGTAGCTCCAGCTGGCCTGGAACTCACTATGTAGCCCAGGCTGGACTTGAATTCACAGAGACCCCCCTGCCGCTGCCTCCCGAGTGCTGGGATTAAAGCTGTGCGCCATCACACCAGGCTGTTCATTCATTTTCAGTCTCCTTTATCCATCCTGGTCTCTATCCATCTATCTGTCCACCCATCAATCTCCCATCCATCCCAGTCTCTACCCATCTTTCTTCCCTTTATCTGTTCATCCATCTATCTCTCATCCATCCAATTTTCTATCCCCCTCTCCCTCCATCCATCCATCCATCCATCCCAATCTCCATCCATACATCCATCCACCCATCCATCCATCCCAATCTCCATCTATCCACCCATCCGTCCCAATCTCCATCCACCCACCCATCCATCCCAATCTCCATCCATCCATCCATCCATCCACCCACCCATCCATCCATCCACACATCTGTCCCAATTTCCATCCATCCATCCATCCCAGTCTCATTCATCCATCCATCCACCCTTCTATCCATCCATTCATCCATCCACCCATCCACTCACCCATCCACCCATCTACCCACCCACCATCCATCCATCCATCCATCCATCCATCCATCCATCCATCCAAGTTTCCATCCATCTTCACTCTGCCTTTCTGTTCTTCCAACCTGTCTGTCCTTTAACCTGCTGGTTGTCCTGTTCTTTCCTACACCCATCTGCTTAATCTCCCCAGTCTGTACCCACCCTGAACTGTATGCTGTGGGTGAGGAGGAAGCCCAGTATAGGCCTGCAAGAAGTTTACAGCCCATGAGAAAATACTGGAATCAATACAAAATGGCCAGACGGTTGGGGGATGGATGTGATTTTGGTTCTTGCTATAGGGTGTGGTGAGTTTGGGCTTGTTTGTTCAGGAGACAAAGGGCACGTGGAATAGAAAACCGAGAGGATATTCTTGTCTCACTGTCACCTTCCCCAGCTGCCCTCACAACTCCCTCTCCTCAGCTCCCTGCCCCTCCTATTCCCCTCTATCCAGTGAACCTGGGTGTCATGTGACTTTTCCTGGGGCGATGTAAAGAAACATCTGTTCACCCCAGATAAAGCACCAACAGACCAAAGAAAGAATTCCACCAAGTCCAGCATGGTGAACTGGGATCACTTACAAGAGAGTGGTGACTCAAAAGGCAGCTGTGCCACTGGGGGTCTCCCAGTCATCTGTTTATTTCTCTTTTTTTAAAAAAAAAAATTACATCTAGGGCTGGAGAGATGGCTCAGCGATTAAGAACACTGGTTGTTCTTGCAGAAGACCCAGGTTCAAATCCCAGCACCCACATGGCAGCTAACAACTGTCTGTAACTCCAGTCCCAGGGGATCCAACAGCCTCTTCTCTCCTCCTTGGACAATGCGGGTGCACTTACCTACATGCAGATAATACATGCATACACATAAAATAAAAATAAATAAAAAATTTAAAAATTACATCTATCTCTATTTTCTCTCTATTGTGTGTGTGTGTGTGTGTGTGTGTTCATGTGTGTGTTCATATACACATGTGGCAGTGAGAGGACAGCTTTCAGAAGTTGGTTCTTTCCTTATATCATGTAGGTACCTGGGATTAAACTCAGGCTGTCAGGGTTGGTGGCAGATGCCTTTACCCACTGAGGCCTCTCTCTGGCCCAGCTGTTTGTCTTTTGAATATAGGCTGGGCCTGCTCTAGGCAACTCTTGTATAGAATAGCAACTTGCAGGCTGCGTTAAACCTTCAGTTAAAAGTAACAGTCTTAGCCGGGCGTGGTGGCACACACCTTTAATTCGAGCACTTGGGAGGCAGAGGCAGGTGGATCTCTGTGAGTCCAAGGCCAGCCTGGTCTATATAGTGAGTTCCAGGACAGCTGGAGCTACAGGAAGACCCTGTCTCAAAAAGACCAAAAAAAAAAAAAGTAACAGTCTTGACCCGAGTTACTCTATTTTGAGTGTAAGTGCCAAGAGAGAACGATTCTACATGTGTTTACACAAGTAAACACCATCTGCCAGCACACCAGGAGCCACGAACTAATAAATAATGTTACTTGTGCTATTAAGTAATAACATTTGTGTATACATCAGATTACATCAGGACCACTAGACATATAAGCTTATCAGTTACACCAGATGAAACCCCTCAGCTGGATCTCTAAAAGGAACACCCAAGACTGGAATGTGGCAGGCACACTGACCAGTCCTCTGGTCACATCAGCACCCTTGTCTGGGAAAGTTGCCACAGTGCAGGACTCCTGCCCATGTCCTCTGTTCCAGCTCCAGTGCACTTTCCTCTGCCTGTGACAGCCTACTTCAAACCCACCTCCAAGAGCCTGCACCTGACACCCCTGTACCTGAGCAACTCCGCACCTTCCGTTCCTAAGGCTTACCTGCTCCCTACAGAACACTCAAGCCTTTTAAACTCTCTTAGCTGCTCTATAGTCAGGGTATATGTGTACGTTGGTATGTGTGTGTGTGTGTATTTGTGTTCCTGTGTGAACATGTATATGTGTTTATATATGTATGTGTGGTGGTATATGTATATATGTGTGTGGTGTGTGTATTGTGTGTGGTCTGTGTATATATTGTGTATGTGTGTGTGATTTGTGTGCATGTGTGTATGTATATGCCTGTAGTGTGTATGATATGTGTGTATATGTGTGCATGTGTATATATATATGTGTGTGTGTGTATGTGTGTGTGTGTTGGTGTATGTATATGTGTGTGTATTGTATGGGAATGTGTGCGTATCACTGAAGTGCAAAATGTGATCTGAGAATCAATATTAGTAACTAAGATTGGAATGAAAGAACCTGTGATTGTGGGTGGCTACACCATCAAATAAAATCACAATTACTTTACAAACCATAGCCAACGAAACTGATGTGGCCTGTGACCTGAGGAAAGACAAACATGTCCATCTATTCTTTTTAAATTTTATTTATTATTTTTATTTTATGTGTATGCATGTGCCTGCATGTAGGTAAGTGCACCCATGTCGTGCAATGCCAGTGGAGGACAGAAGAGGCTGTCGGATCCCCTGGAACTGGAGTTACAGACAGTTGTTAGCTGCCACATGGGTGCTGGGATTCGAACCCAGGTCTTCTACAAGAACAGAGAGTGTTCTTAACCGCTGAGCCATCTCTCCAGTCCCCCATCTATGTTTTTGACACTGTGTGCTCTGGGTTCTTCTCAAATGATCTTGGAGTCAGGAAGGGCCTCGAGAGCCTCTTGAGCGACCTTTCCCATGGGGCATTACTAGCCTCACACTCCTGAGAGCCCCGTGTGGATTATCACACTGCTCTGCTTCCCTGCAATGGTCAAGTCCGATTGGAAGCAGCAGCGAACCACAGTGGGCCGTTGGGTCTCCTCTGGGTTCCCGTCTGTCTGGGGCTTCCGTCTTGCTTCCCAGCACATCCGGTCCCCAGGGCAGAGATTGGGTTGTTGTGTTCATTGAGGTGTCCCAGTGTTTGACACCTGGCATGTGTTGGTTGCACGCATTAGGGGCCTGGGCAAGTGGGCTGCTGTCCAGGGGTGATGACATAGGGCAGCACCGGTGGACAGCGGCAAATGTCCCTGACTGTGACTTTAGAGGGTGAACTTCACAAGTGTCTGGATGTGAGGCAGAGGGAGAAAGGTGTCCAGGGCAACTGTGGGGTTTTGAGCTCCAGTGCCAGTGTGGGTGGCCTTGCTATGCTGCTGATATGGAACTGAGGTGTGGAGTGTCCGAGGCCCTGGCTCCTGAGCACAGCCCCTAGGGCAGAACCAGAAACCTAGCTGTTTGTCTCCCCAGAGCAGAACCCCCCACCTCCTTCCTTCTAGACCTCCCTTCTACCACGGCATGTGGCTGGCGGTTCTGCAGGAGCACACCTGGAGCTCGCCCCGTGTAGCCACAGATGCAGAAGTGAGGCTCAGGGAGGTCCAGAGGGCTTGTTTCAAAGCCAAGTGGCAGAGCTGGGTTTTGAATGCAGGCAGGCGATGTCCCTTTACAGGCCAGAATGGACAGCAGGGCTGGCCTTGGACAGACCACTTCCTGCCCTCCCCCCATGCCCTCTGCCCTCTACCTGCTGTGGAAGCTAGTACTGCCTACTTGCCTAAAAACAGACAAACTTTCAGGGTGAGAGGTCAGCCTTTGTTGGATACTTTGTTCAAGGCCAACCTACAGAGTTCAGGAAAACAGGTGACACGTGGCTTCCTGCTGCTCTGGCCTGAGGGCCATCTAGACAGAACTGGAGGGATCTCAAGTGAACACAGCATATCCATCCTGTTCAGAGCCCCCAAGGTCACCTGGGTCATGGGCTTCTGAAAGGGACTAGAAGTGGTAGCCACAGAGACAAATGGCTCTTTCTGTATGTGCTGGGCATCAGAGAGGGTGCTCTAAGGTGGCATCTGGGAATGGTGTGGTGCCTACATGACCTAGGCCAGCCCCCTTTGGGACCTTGGTAGCTCTATTTGTTTGTGTTTTTTTTGTTTTTTTGAGACAGGGTCTCCCTGTGGCCCCAAATGGCCTGGAACTCACTATGTAGACCAAACTAGCCTTGAACTCACAGAGATCAACTTGCCTCTGCTTCCAAAGTGCTGGGATTAAAGGCATGCCCCACCACCCCCAGCTGGTGGCTCTACTTGTAGAATGAATGGGGCCTGTGTTTTCCCTCCCTCTTGGGGCTGGTAAGCCAAAAAGTGGGGTTCACACATAAGGGGTCACTGTTTGTACAGTCACTCCAAGTAGATAGAGGCCTGGCGCAGGCTGAATCTGGAAGTGGAGGCAGACCTGTGTCTGCACGTGGGCCACCTCCCATGACCTCTCACATGCTTCTCTCTCCCATGCCAAGGTCCCAAGGGCATTGACACAAGGGTCCCTAGGAAGTGCATGGGTGTGAGCATCAAAACAGCCTGTAGTCCAGCCCTGTCCCCGCCCCTGTCCATGGGTATTTAAGGTCTGAGGAGTTTGTAGGAGCTGGCCCGTGGTGGCACAGAGAGACCAGAGCCCTTCCCACTTCCCACGCTGTCCATGGATTTTGTTGCTGGGGCCATTGGAGGTATAAGACAGGGACAGAGGGGAGTTGGGGGGAGGGCGCTTTGCCTGGACTATGTGTGGGAGGCACCCCAGACAGCAGGGGTTTGACCTGGACGGTGTCTGCTGGATGGGAAGGTGGGCTCTAGCGCACAGCTCTAAGGCAGGATGCTGATGCAGGTCGGGGACCACTGGCTTAGAGCAGGACCTTGTCTCTTTGGGTTTAGGGGATGGCTGAGGGTCCTTGATGTGGGAGAATGAGCCCCAGGGAGTGGCAGGAGGATGCAGGGGAGTGTAATGCCCCCAGGAGTCATCGCATAGCACAGAGTAGGGACTAGAAAGGACAGAGGAGAGGAAGCCTGGATGAGTGGCTTCTCTGGGTTACCCACCAGGGTCTGCTGATGCCCAACTCCCTGTGGCTGAGACTGTCCCCTCCTTGGGGGAGAAGTCATGAGAAAGGGGAGAAGAGAGAGAGGTTGCTGCCCGCTGGGGCTCTGCTAGCCATCGGCCATCGATCTGCAGTGAGAGAGGCCCCTTTGGCCGTTGCTCTTGTGAAACAGCTGCGGGCAGTTCTTGCTCACTGCTGGGAACAGACTTAGGCCAGGAAGGGAAGTCTTGATCTGTACCATCCCAAGGCTAGCTACTCTCTGAACTAAAGGATGAGGCTGCACTTCCTCAGAGCTCACAGAAAGGCTTGGTGACAGTCCCTGGTCCCCAGTCTTCGAGGGTCTCTAGCTCTGTAGTCCATGGTGATGGCATGTGGGCCACAGCAGCAAGGCCATGTGATACGGGCTCTGATCAACATGTCTCCAGGCAAAGGCAGCCCACAGCAGAGTCAGGGAGGCCTCAGAGAGGAGGGCTTTGAGGAATGGGTAGGAGTTGGTGAGGGTCATGAGGACAATTCTGGTCAAGGTCAAGCAGTGCCTTACTTTATCCTTCATCCCAGGCACTAACCACCCTCCACCCCACCTTGGCCTCACCTTGATCTAGAAAGACTAGGCACATGCATGGCCCCTTGACTTCCTGAGGCTCTGTTGGTCTTAGATGTAGAGGCCTTGGTGTTGGGAGCAGGTGGGCAGTGTGGATCTCCTGGTCCAAAGCCTGGGCCCTGCACAGAAGGCTCCTATGCAAGGTGGCTCAACACTTGTGTCTACTCCCTTCAGATGAGCCACTTATACAAGTTCCAGAGGCTTCAGGGAACCAGTGGCCCCACTGCATAGGCCCCTGTGCCAGTGCTAGAGGGCAGTGGTGGGGAGTAGGTGCTGACGGAGCAAATGGCTCTCCTCCTGGCCAGGTAGCAAAGAGGATGGGGTTGCCATGCCAGTTGCCTCTGAGCCTTGCCCCTAATGGGCTAAGGACCTCTGGCAAGGCACCCACCTGGGGGATCTGCCACTTCCCACCAGTGCCACACTGGGAGCAGGCCTTTAACACATGGTCCTTTGGAGGAACTTGTCTAGACCCTAAGAATGCTCACTCTGTTCCATGTAGACCTGCGGTTCTGGGCGGTCCTGGCCCTTCAGGGATCTGGGTGGGGGCCTGGGCATCTCACCTTGGCTTTTGCTCAGATTGTGCCCCTCCCTCCCTGGTCCCTGGAATGCGCTGGTGCTGGTGCTGTTCCCCTGCCCCTGCAATGTGTGGGTGTTCACCTGGCTCCCACGCAAGCCCTTCCTGCATCGGCTGAAACTTCAGGGCATGGTCTGCCTGGCTCCAGGACAGCTCCAGTCAGTCAGGGCAGGACCAGATGTTCTCCCCAAATGTGAAGCCAGCAGGGAGGCTGAGAAATGTTCTTGGCACAGGCAAGGGGGATGGGCACCGCTGGGCTGGGACTCCGTGTAGAGAGATTGCTAGCAAGCTTGGCAGATGCACAGAGCCTGTTTCTCACTGGCAAAACAGAAGGAGACCCAGGTGGGGTTGGCTGGAGGGGTGGAACTTGCTTGGGACCACCTTCTGCTGTTTACCGGTGCCTCCGATTGCCTTGCAGGTGTCTGCGGTGTTGCTGTGGGCTACCCTCTGGACACAGTGAAGGTAGAGCAAGGCCCTGCCTGGGCTTAGATCACCCTTAGGATGATCCTGTACCCAATCCCCGTCATCCACTAGAATGCTCCTAGGACCCAGCCCTCTCCTTCTCTAAAGCCTTCGGTGGCTCTCTATGGTCCTTGGACTGTCAATCTTTCACAAGTGCCTCAGGAGTCTCACTTAGAATAGGGCTTACTGTCCCGGCTCAGTCCACAGAAGTATGTCTGATAGTCAAGGGGCAGAGCCCAGGGTTCTCCTGATTTCCGGCCCTCCATGAAGCCTGCTTACCTCTCCTGCAGGTCAAGATCCAGACTGAGGCCAAGTACACAGGCATCTGGAATTGCATCAGAAACACGTACCGTCAAGAGCGGGTAGGCCTGGGGCCCAGGACTGTCAGTAGAGAGGTGTCAGAGCCAGGGACTGGCCCTGAGGATGCATGCTATTCCCCTTGGGTCTCAACCTCCTGACCCCCAAATGTCTGAGGGATTCCTTTAAGGACCATAGCTTGGGCACCTGTGACACACTGTGGCACAGAACCAAGTACCTGTAACCGGGGAAGGGGGTGGGAGGGTCACTGGGCTTCTGAAGGTCAGGGAGCACCCCACCCAAAAGAAGGACTTGGAGACATTTATGGAAGTGAACCTGGGGCTTGGTGCAGGCAGTGGTTAGCCCAGAAGAGCTGTGGTACAACATGCTGGTTTTACCATTGTGGTTAAGCAGCTGCCTTGGGTGGAGCCGAACCTGTCTCTTCAACCTCTCACCTGACTTCAAACACTGAGTCTCCAGGCTGACTCCTGGAGGCTGAGGACTTGAGGCAGTGGCCTGGGTGAGGGAGATGGTGGTCAGGCAGGGCAATTTCAACTGTCCCAGCCCCAGGGCAGGCCTTCTGTTGGCTGGGCCCAGTCCTCACTTGACTCCATCCACCAGGTGTGGGGCTTCTACCGGGGTCTCTCGCTGCCTGTGTGCACAGTGTCTCTGGTGTCATCTGTGTCTTTTGGCACCTACCGCCACTGCCTTGCTCATATCTGCCGCTTCCGGTACGGCAGCGCCGACGCCAAGCCCTCCAAGGTGGACATCACACTCTCAGGATGCGCCTCTGGTCTTGTCCGAGTGAGTGGAGGCAGGTGAGGGTGGAAGGGTGTCAGAGTCTCTGAGGGTGTCTGAGACATAGTCCCCAGCAGGTGGGGAGGCTGAGGCTCTGTGAGGGCCTGCAGGGGGCAGCGTCCTGCCTAGATGGGCCAGGCTCCCTGAGCGGAAGATGCTCTAGTGGGGAGGAAGGGGTGACCATAAGGATCCTGTCAAGGTATGGGGACCCAGAGAGGTAGCGCTCTAGTGCTTGTGACCCTCAGCCTTGGAAGGCTCCATCTGCAGGGTAGATACCAATATACCTTCATTCCCAATGGAAATGGGGGCACTAGGCACCAGAGAGAACAGGGCGGCCCAGGGCATCCACAGCCCCCTCACAGAACTCCTACCCCAGGGTGGGGCATGGACAAGCACTCTGTCTAGCCAGAGCCATCCAAAGAGACATGGGCTGTGGGCTGAGTGCTAACTGAACACCACAAACAGCACAGAGGCCAAAGGCTGACGGGTTTAGCCAGCCAGGCTGACCTCCTGAGCATGCTAAGG